AGGGTAATCTGAATGACAATGTCAGCACATTCCCAGTAAAGCAGTTGAATGAATGAGGGTGAATGTGTTTTCTTCTATGGGTCACCCTGCCTTAATGAGAGATGGCTGTTGAGGTAAAGAAAAAATATAGTAATACATATTTTGGCTAACTTAGCATTATTTGCAGGTGGACACAACTTTTCTATGGTAAAGAAACTGACATGGGAAAGGTTGCTGGTGAAGCAGACTCTGTCTCATCCTTGGAATTTAACATGCACATAGACAAGGGTTTGTTCTCTTGGATTCCAGCTTTATTTAAAATTAAGTAAGTAATTTTACAGGTTAAAGGGAAAATGTTATGTGTAACCCACCATTTTCACCACAGTTTTGGGGAAATTGGATATTAAGTTTATGGGTTTATTTTATAGTAATCCTATGGAGTACAGTATGTACAGTACTATGTTTAGGTATCATGTTTTAAATCAGTAGAGCTGGGCTCCTATTATTGTTATTATTATTATTATTATTATTATTATTATTATTATTATTATTATTATTATTATTATTATTATTTAACTCCACTGACATTTGGTTAATTTATCTAAATATGGGGTTTTATCACTGAGCAATGTCCAAAGTAAAGTAATACAGTATATAGCTTAAATGTAGTATTTTCCATGATGAAGTGTAGAAGCATTATCCAGTTATTCAATTGTACCTGAATGCCTCTCATTCCCAGAGGTACTATATGATGATATCCATTATTTGACCAAGAAGTGAGAAGTATAGAAAAGTAGAATTTACAGTCGTATGTGATGTCACCATGATTATTTAACATACATATAGATGTGGTTGTAGAGGAAGTGAATGCTGGGGTGTTGGGGAGAGATGTGGGATTAAAGAATGTTGGATCTAATGCAAAGTGGAGTCTTCACAATTGCTTTTTACCAGTGAGACAGTTCTTTTGGGAGATTCTGAAGATAAGTTTCTAAGGTTGGAGGATGAATTTGGGAGGGTATGCAAAAGTAGCAAATTAAAAGTGAACATAGAAAAGAGCAAGGCTATGAGGGCAAAAAAAAAAGTCTAGGCAATGGAAAGTTGAATATCAGATTGGAGGAAGAGAGTATGGAGGAAGTAGATGTATTTAGTCGTTTGGGATTAGACTCATCAGCAGAGGGTTCTATGCAAGATGAGATGAACTGCAGAATTGGAGAGGAAAAAAAGAGCTAGGTGATGTTTTAAGGCATGTGGGAAGAAAGAAATATATCTGTGGAGACTAAAAAAAAAAAAAGAGGAAGGAGGGGGGAATGTACCAGAGTATAGGGGTACCAACACTTGTATGGGTGTGAGGCATGGTTCTTGAAGGTTGGAACTAGGAGGCTAGAGATGGTGGAGATGTGATGTTCAGATCACTGTTGGAGGGTTCAGAGGATAGAGATTAGATGAAAGTTAGGGGTTACCAAGGGTACAATTCAGAGGGATGAGGAAGGGTTATTGAGGTAGTTTGGCCATTTAGAGAGGATGGAGAGGGATAGGAAGATGAAGGTATATTAATATGGGATGGAAGGTAGGAAGGATAAGGGTTGTCTCAGGAAAGGTTGGTAGAAGGCAAAAGAAGGCTTTGAGGTTTAGGGGGTTGAGCATCTAGCAGACTTGTGTTAGCCTGTTAGATAGGATTGAAAGGAGACAAGCCGTTTTTAATGGATGTTCTGTTGGAGTATAAGTAAGGAACCATATATGAAAGGATTTAGGGTAAACCAGTTAAGTCTGGCTTGAGTCCTGGAGGTGGAATGGGCAGTGCTTGCACTCTGAAGGATGGGAAGTCATGTAGCAGTTAGTGCGTGACTTGAATAGTAATATCAACACACTTCCAGCAAGACAATGAATGTTTTGTTCTTTGGGTCACCCTGCTTTGGTGGGAGACACCCGTTGAGGTAAAAAAAAAAATTACCAAAGATTTTTAAACAATGGTAACCTTATATGGATGATATGTTTGCCTTTAAAATCCTTTTAGTAGAAATAGACTTGGTTCTATTTCTTACAACCAGTGAAAGAAAATCATTTTCATTGGTATAGTAAGCCTTTAATATATAAAATTGCTATTAGAAATGTGTGTCCAACTGTAAAAATATAACCTTTAACAATATTATAATGGCTCTATAAATATTTTGTTGGGTGCAGACTCCTGGAACACGATTTCTGTTATCAATTCTTAATTGTCTAAAATTTATTACATGGATTTTTCTCTAATTTTTTTAATAAATGTTCTGATTTAACATTATATATAATAGTATTAATAACATTTTAATGTTGCATGTTACTTCTGCAGAGATGAACAAATTCTAGCCAAGAGTGAGAGAGATGCTGTCAGTTACCTGTATTTTCAGCGTCACATTATTGTCTACATGATGATAGTGTGTGTTATCAGCATTGTGATTGTCTTACCCATCAACTTCCAAGGAACTCTAGAGGGTGGACAGAAGGAATTTGGTCACACCACTTTAGCAAACCTTAACCCTCAGTAAGTGGAATAGAATTTTACCATGAAAAAAATTAATTAAATTCTTGGCATGTGGTTGTAAGTGACTTAACAGTTCACTGATCAATCAGCTTGTATCCAATATCATTTGTGATTGTTTCCTACTGTAGGCACAGATTATTTTTTATAAGGGGGGGGGGGCTGCCTTGCCTGAAGAGGAACTAATATAAAGATAATTTTCCAGCGCCTTAAAACACTGCAGTGTATTGTTGACCTGAGCACTGTACTGCATTAAGAAAAAAGGGGGTTAATGTTTAAGCACTGTCATCCTTGTGATCCTCTCACACACAGCTTGGACTTCAAGTTTAATCAACTGTTTAATTTGAAGGACCTCTCCATGTGTCACTGCACAATTAACCCTTTCAGGGTCCAAGGCCAAAATCTGAAGTGGTGCTCCAGTGTCCAAGAATTTAAAAAAAAAAATTGTTATTTTTTCTTATGAAATGGTAGAGAATCTTTTTGTGAAGGTAATAAAGCAAAAAGTACAAAATTTGATGGAAAATTGATGAAATTATGCTCTCGCGAATTTTGATGTGTCAGCGATATTTATGAATCGGCAATTTTGCCGACTTTGACTCCCATTTTAGGCCAATTACATTATTCCAGTCGACCAAATTCTTAGCTATTTCACTAGTATTACTTCTATTCTATCGATTGAGCACAAGAAATCGCCAAGTCAACTGTTTCAACTACAAAATAAAGTGATCGGAAATTGGTAATTTGGCCAATTTAACACAAAGTTCAAAATATTCCAATTTCAAAATAGGGTCCAGAATAAACAATGTAGGTATTCCTGGCACTAAACTAACATTTCCTCTGTTCATTAGTTACGTTTTGAGGCTTTACAAATAAATTCCATTTTGATTTTTTATTCACATAATGAATTTTTATTCACTCCAAAAAATAGAATATTTACTGTTATGCGATATTGTAATAATTGTATAAATATCATCACCACATTTGTGAATTTATATTAAACCCACCAGCTCGCATGTATTAGACTTGTGAGGTCATTTGTTTACTCTTGAACATCGGCAAAAGTTTAACATTTCTGCTACTTTGAGCTCAGTTTCAGGCCATTTCCAGTGCTAAAACCAATCAAAATCATCTCTATTTCTGTAATATGTCTTCCGTTCTATCAAATGAGACCAAGAAATCGCAAATACAACTATAAAAAACATACGAAAAAACACTGTAAAGTCGCTGTTTTAATCGAAAATCACGGTCTCGGTTTTCTTTTCTCTCATTATACACAGTGTGCTGCAGGATTTTTTATGTGGTACACACATAACACATAGATGTATTCTCTCATGTCTAGGCCCAAATTTACCACTCACAGTTTATCAGAGTGAGCTGAGCTCATGGCGTAGATCTACGGTATATACCCTGTACGTAAAGCCATAGATCTACGGAACGGACCCTGAAAGGGTTAAACATGAATGACATAAAAATCCATCATCTATAGCATAGTGAAAATTCTTGTCTCTGTTTTCTGGAATCCATGAAAGTCATTACATTCAGATCATAGTTTTTTTCCTGTAAAACAAATTCCTTGTGTTTGCAATGGTATTCATCTTAAAGCTAATCTATTAGCTTTAATCAAGGATTGGATGAAATAACAACACAATTAGTCATGGGGCATTATCCAACATTGTTTAGTATAGGACTTTTCAGCAGATGGGCAAAAATTAGAAGAATACAGCAACAATACCATCTGGGTAGGTAATGTAACCCACTGATTGTGCCTTTCTATGACACAAGCCTGGCTGTCATTTTTGTTAATCCTAAGAGGGCATAGACCTGCCTGCCCTAGCCAGGCTGCATAAATCGCTCTTCATTGTTGGGGGAGAAACAGTCTGTCAAATGGTAATTTGTTCCAAAATATAGTCACTGTCATGCTGATTAACCCTTTGACTGTTTTGATCGTATATATACATCTTACGAGCCATTGTCTTGGACGTATATATAATCAATAATTCTAGCGGCTTCAAATCAAGCAGGAGAAAGCTGGTAGGCCCACATGTGAGAGAATGGGTCTATGTGGTCAGTGTGCACCACATAAAAAAAATCCTGCAGCACGCAGTGCATAATGAGAAAAAAAACTGACTGACTTTTTTTTTTTGGATAAAAACGCCGACTTTGAGGTGTATTTTCGTATAGTATTTATTGTTGTATTCTTGTTTTCATGGTCTCATGTGATAAAATGGAAAACATATTACAGAAATAGACATGATTTTGATTAGTTTCACGAAGAAAACGACCTTGAAATTGAGCTTAAAGTAGCGGAAATGTTCGATTTTTACCAATGTTCAAGGGTAAGCAAATCACACCACACGTCCAATACACATCAACTGGGAAGTCTAATATTCTTTCACTAGTGCACTGATATTATTTATACCATTTTTACAATAATACAGTAGTCTGCATAGCAGTAAATTTTGTATTGTATGAATAAAAAATCAAAACAGAAAGCAATATTAATATAAGAGGGGCCTAGAGACGTGACTAATGAACAGAGGATATGTTATTTTAGTGCCAAGAATGTCTACATTGTTTATTCAGGACCCTATTTTGAAATTGGCATCTTCTTTAATTTGCATGAAATTGGCCAAATTGCCAGTTTCTGACCACTATTGGGTAGTTCAAATTGGTAAATGGGCAGTTTCTTGTACTCAGTTGATAGAAAAAATGGAGTTCTAAAGAAATAGCTATGAGTTTGGTCAACTGGAACAACGGAATTGGCCCAAAACAGGGCTCAAAGTCGGCGAAATCGCCGATGCGTATATGTCGCCGAGACCGCCAACTTCGTGGGAGTGTAATTTCGTGAGTTTTTGACCAAATTTCATACCTTGGGTGTCATTACCATTGGAAAAAGGTTCTCTATCATTTCATAAGATTTTTTTTTTTTTTTTTTTTTTTTTAGCATAGAATGACAGTTTCAGAAAGGGGCTTGCAACAGTCAAAAAAATAAGTACAGTATACAGTATTAGGATGCTGTTTAGGGAATCATTAATGTATTCATTGTATTTTCCAGTTGCATTATTATAGGTTGTCATTCATTGAAAATATTTGCAGATTGCAGCAGTGATGCCTCAAGGATTTTTCCTAAACTTAATCTGACATAAAAGTGGATCAATTCAGAAGGCTGAATGCTCTTTTGAATGCATCTCTTGATTGATGGCAGAGAATGTGACATTCTACTTATTTTACACGCAGTTTTGGAAGAGAAATACAGTGGACCCCCGGTTAACGATATTTTTCATTCCAGAAGTATGTTCAGGTGCCAGTACTGACCGAATTTGTTCCCATAAGGAATATTGTGAAGTAGATTAGTCCATTTCAGACCCCCAAACATACACGTACAGACGCACTTACATAAATACACTTACATAATTGGTCGCATTCAGAGGTAATCGTTATGCGGGGGTCCACTGTATATTGTAGTATTTTGCCAGATTTTGTTCCTTTGTTTTGACTCATGTAGGATGGTAACATGGAAGCAAGGCTGATAGAGCCATGTATATTTTTTTTTTTTTTTCAACAAGTCGGCTGTCTCCCACCGAGGCAGGGTGACCCAAAGAGAAAGAAAATCCCCGAAAAGAAAATACTTTCATCATCATTCAACACTTTCACCTCACTCACACATAATCACTGTTTTTGCAGAGGTGCCTAGAATACAACAGTTTAGAAGTATATACGTATAAAAATACACAATACAGTGGACCCCCGCATAACGATTACCTCTGAATGCGACCAATTATGTAAGTGTATTTATGTAAGTGCGTTTGTACGGGTATGTTTGGGGGTCTGAAATGGACTAATCTACTTCACAATATTCCTTATGGGAACAAATTCGGTCAGTACTGGCACCTGAACATACTTCTGGAATGAAAAATATCGTTAACCGGGGGTCCACTGTATATCTCCAAACTGCCAATATATATATGTGTATATATTATTATTTTTTTTTTTTTTTAACAAGTCGGCCATCTCCCACCGAGGCAGGGTGACCCAGAAAGAAAGAAAATCCCCGAAAAGAAAATACTTTCATCATCATTCAACACTTTCACCTCACTCACACACAATCACTGTTTTTGCAGAGGTGCTCAGAACACAACAGTTTACAAGCATATACATATAAAGATACACAACATATCCCTCCAAACTGCTAATATCCCGAAACCCCTCCTTTAGAGTACGGGCATTGTACTTCCCATTTCCAGGACTCAAGTCCGGCTATATAAAAATAACCGGTTTCCCTGAATCCCTTCACTAAATATTACCCTGCTCACACTCCAACAGATCGTCAGGTCCCAAGTATCATTCGTCTCCATTCACTCCTATCGAACACGCTCGTGCACGCCTGCTGGAAGTCTAAGCCCCTCACGCACAAAACCTCCCCTAGCCCTTCCTTCCAACCTTTTCGAGGACGACCCCTACCCCGCCTTCCTTCTACAGATTTAAATGCTCTCCATATCATTCTACTTTGATCCATTCTCACTAAATGACCAAACCACCTCAACAACCCCTCTTCAGACCTCTGACTAATACTTTTATTAACTCCACACTTTCTCCTAATTTCCACACTCCGAATTTTCAGCATAATATTTACACCACACATTGCTCTTAGGCAGGACATCTCCACTGCCTCCAACCGCCTCCTCGCTGCTGCATGTACAACCCAAGCTTCACACCCATATAAGAGTGTTGGTACTACTATACTTTCATACATTCCCTTCTTTGCCTCCATAGATAACGTTTTTTGACTCCACATATACCTCAACGCACCACTCATCTTTTTTCCCTCATCAATTCTATGATTAACCTCATCCTTCATAAATCCATCCGCCGACATGTCAACTCCCAAATATCTGAAAACATTCACTTCTTCCATACTCCTCCTCCCCAATTTGATATCCAATTTTTCTTTATCTAAGTCATTTGATACCCTCATCACCTTACTCTTTTCTATGTTCACTTTC